CTCATTGTAGAGTATTTTATTAATTTACAAGTAAAATATGTCATATATAAATAAAATAATTCAACGGAAAGGGGCCCCAAAATGTTGTTGCCCCCCCCTTTCTTATTTGTGGCTGCGTGTCCTTTGTGCGTAAGCTATCATCATATTAATCAGCAATGGCATTGATGCCGGAGAAAGTACTGAAAACCATGACTGAAATTGTTCAAATAAAACCGTTTGGTGTTTGCAAATTGTTGTATTTTTCTGTTTTTCTTCATCACGACTTATAACAAAAGGAACATAGGTATCTAATTGTTATTTTCTGCACCTCGAATTTATTTCCTCACTTCGGTCTCTATCACTCTTAGTTCTGTAGTTTGTCAATTTGTACATAAAATATGACCTATGAAGCTGACTAGAATATTTAGAACACTCGCATGAAGTTAAATGAACAAGTTTTTAAAATTTTTACTTGTTTGTGTACTGATTTTTTGCTTTTTATGCCCTGTCAGAACAACAATGCTGAGTCCGGAGTTCCAAATTCACACTCGCGACAATGCTCAGCTGCAATGGTCTCATTTGAGCCATATTCTACACATTTTGAACCTTGTTATGTCGGTTGCGAAGGGACATACTCGTAGCGCCTCAGTCTAGATTAGGAGAGAAGGATGGGATGAGATGATCGCGCGCCGTTCATAACCCCTTGCCCAAGTTGCTGTAACTGCCTGGAAGTGATCGGGAAATCCAGGAAATCCACTGATCGGAGCAGTCAACCAATATGACCGTGGTCGGAACTGCAATTTTTTGACTGAGAACATATGCGCATTGGTGTTTAACATCAAATCTACCACCCGCATAGGAAATCGATCCCACGATCTTCCAGAGATAATTCCAATTAGTGACCTAAGAGTAAATAATTCACTTATCAACAGCAGAGACATAAGGCTTAGAAATAGATACCAAAGATGAGTCAATGCCAATGATAGAGAGAAGACAATGTGAAGGTGATAAGAGCGCACTGACAGCTGTCTTCTCTCCAGTCGAATACTGTGTGATAGAGAATAGGAGTTCTGAAGCTCAAGAAAATGTTTGCAGAGTATACTTCTTCCCATACTCCATTTACAGCTTTTACTGTTTTTGAAGATAAATAAATTAAATTATGCAGATCGACGCGGGTGGCATAGAATGATACAATTGGTGTGTTAGAGGGTAAGGGGAACCGAAGATATTGAAACGATATTGACTCAAAACTGTGACGAACGTGACCAAACTCAGATAAAGGCCTGAGATAATAAGGAGCACAGAGCTCCAGAGAGTCGGTCTAGGGAAGAAAGAAGAATACCCGGACAAGTCGTTCAAAAAAGAAATACTTATTTTTTCACATTCCTTTACTTCACACTGTCCTTATAGTAACAGAGATACCTACAAGAATAAACATTTAAAAACTACATATTTACTTTCTATATTTTCTTTAAAAAATCTTACGGTCTTTAATGCAGAGGAGAAGTCATTATGAAGAAGAAAAATTATGAAGTCGCAAGAGCTAGCGAGAGCGAGCTCAAAGAAGCTTGCGAGAGCGAGCAGGCAACAGACCTTTAGAGTAGAAAGTATTTCAGGCGTAGTTCCATCATCATTATTTCATCCGGCATAAAACTTTCATGGTCACACATTGCGTCAATTCACGGAAATTCTGTTGCACCTGAGGGAGCAGGTAGAGAAATAGTCACCAATAGCAATTCGGAGTGTTTGACTCCTCTGACGAATGCCTCTCGTATGCCGCCTTCACTGCCGACAAAAAATGTTCCGATTATGATATTACCACAAGGCTTTGAAACACCCATCCAAAACTTGACGGCCTTCAAAAATACCATGATGAAAGACGCAGCCACGAAAGAGAGACGAAGTTATCGCTAGGATACGGAAGATGGCAGTAACACAGAGAAAACAATGAAGGTTAAGAAGGGTGAGGAGGAAGCAGCGCCAGTACCGCACAGTTGTAGCAGGGGTCCTGAGGTGGAGGACGAGGAGAAGGAGGTGGAGAACGAGGAGAAGGAGGAGGAGATGGAGGTGGAGGTGAAGGAGAAGGGAGAGATGAGGCGGAGGTGGCTGTGGCTGGCGGCGGCAGAACAGCGCGCAGGCTGGTTCGCCCATTACAGCGAGCTAAATGCCTGATGTACGGCCGGCCGCGAGTTGTGCGGAGGCGTCGCCAGGTGTTCCAACTGCCGCAGCGGCCCCGCTGGTCCTCGAGGCGATTGCCAGACGAAACATGCAGTGGCGTAGTGTAAACGTGGTTGCTAGGGAGTTAACAGTTGAATATTTACAAAAACAGCTGATACAAACTTAAATCAATGATATGAAATTGATAATTTATATGTTTCTTTGTGCTACAAAAACTTAGAACCATCGAAGTGATTGTCCTCAATTTTGGCAAGAGTACTTTTGAGCGACCAAGAAGAAAAAATTAATTCAAAATGTTTCCCAAAATGTGTTTTTTACTATATTTATTTAAATGTAATTCCAATATAAGTGGGCAGTATTGTTGCAGGACTTTTCTGGGTGACGTGGGGAGGGGCAGGACGGTACGTGAGGCGAGGCGAGAATGGATCGTGTGGGCAGAACTTGGAGGGACAATCTCCAATGGAAGGAGTAAGCATATTGCAATAAGAACAAGGAGCGGGCGGAGCAGAATTAGTGGAAGGAGAGGGAGGAGCTAGAGGAGAGGAGTGAAGAAGCGAAAGGAGATGGAGAGGTCAGAGCGGAAGAAGGGGGGAGCAAAACACCCGATCGAGCACAAGGGTTGGGCATAGGGGAAAGAGCCGAAGTAGGGACGAGTGTTATGAATGGGAGGGACAGATAGAGGGGAAAGTTCTAGACCGATGGAGAGGAAAGTGAAAGTGTAACAGGGGGCAAGATAGGGCTTGGCGGGCGAAGCGTGCGGAGTGGGTGACATTTCTTAGCAATTATTGTGAGAAATAAATACCTGAAGAACGCCGGGAAATCACGCAGAAAATGATCTTAGACTAGCTAGATGATGTCTTGGGATATATTTCACTTGGCTCACCGACAAATAATGTTAATTGTGAAAGAGTAGACGTTGATATATGGTAATCTGTGTATCTCTTAGACATAATATTTTTCTTAAAGACAGAAAATTCAATTTAAAATAACAATTCATTTTCACAATTATATCCCATTGCTACAGGTGTGCTTGGAGGTTGCATTATCTCTCGAAACCCCTTTAATATAGTATACAACAGACATCCCTGAATGAATACATTCAAACGTTTCATTGTAAGCAGATTATACAGCTTAGACACCCAATAATAAAATAACTTATGACGATCTACAATATGACCTTGCCAGTTATATTAAATGCACATAAAACTGGTGAGTAAAGGTGAATTCTGAGATATTACATGCTGAAATGTTTACGCTGGGACGCCCTACTGATCCCCCGCTCTTCGAAATGAATAATTTCTAAGTTTTTTAGTTTCCAAAACATCACGGTTAAATATTTCAAAGTTGGTGGGTAACATGATAACATAGAAAGCACTTACAAAAGCAGCGGCAAACAAAGTATATATTAAAATGTCAACATTGCAATAAATCCTAAATTTCCAAATATTATTACATATTGTCGATCGCTGATACATGTGATATATAAATCATAAGTATGACATTAACTTACGCATGTCCAATTTGGAAGAAATTTAGTCAATGCAATTTTAAACCTTCACAGTGTTCCAAATATTTTTGTTTAGAAAAATCATCAAAGCTCGTGGTGTATTCCAAACTCACAAATATATAAGGAGCTTAACACAAACTTCTTAGATATTCGTATAAATTTTATCATCCTAAATTTCTCTCCTGAACTTCTCAATGTCTGATCTGATTTCGAATTTCCCATGTCTTTAAGTAATTCTCATCGTATTCGATCTCGTTTTTACAAAGGATTATTTAGATCACCGTAATTTTACTATTTAAACTAAACAGTACATTTTATTCAATATTTAATATTTTTTGAATTCTTAATTAAGTTACTTACGTGCTTGACGAAATGGAGATCAACAAAATTAGAGAAAATATCTAGTGGTCGGAAGATGTAAAATTCTACAAGTTATTTTAGTACTTAACACCTTTGTAATACGAAATTGTCCATCAAATATAATATTAATAGAATCTGTTTAGCCAATGAGCTCTAGAAAAGTGACCAATCCCATGATTTCGCCGCAAAAACTGCAATACACAGAACTTGCTTGCAGATCAGGAAGGCCAAAGGTTGAGCTAAAAGGATGGCTTGCTTTCTTGGACTTTTAATAATAGGAGAAACGAGACATTTTCTTATATTAATACATCGCGTATTAGAATTGCAGTGGTGTCAATTCACATATTTATAATTCAAGGCACTTCAATGTTGTTTCACAACTCAATTGATGTTAGTTCCGAAATCAAAAACAGAATTCCAGGATTATATGAAGTAAATTTATTAACCGGAGTCGTGTCAACATTACTCCTTACAATTGAAGTGGTGGATTCTTGCCTAGTATGTATCTACGCCAATAGTCACGTCCTCATTATTCAAGCCAGGCAATAGAAACGAAATATTAATAGTTCACGACAACAAATCTTTATGTAATTTTTCAAAATCTTTAAAATATATTTCCAGCACTTAATACAGTAATAAAGCAAGCCAATTCTAACTTCTATGGTTTTAAATTTATGACATAAACTGTTAATTATCATTTTAAGCAATTTTTATTTCATATAAATTATTAATTACATTGCTACAATCTTCCACGCATGCAAAAATCACACATTTTGTATTAAATAGTAAATAAATTACTAAAACATTAATGTTGAAAACTCTTTCTCTGGTATAAAAATAATCTACCAGCTAATTCCATGACCAGCGTTCTCCGCCGTTCCAGGTCGATAGATTGGTACTGATGCATCCACACAGACTGGTTTTCCATTCTGATGTATCTTCAGAAATAATTATTATTTTCAAAATATGCAATTTTATTGTTTAGTGGTTATAGCCCTTACGTGTTGTCCCTACAGTTTAAAAATCACAGTGGACGCTATATGACCAAGATGTTGAAAAGCGACAAAATAATACCGTGAGACTACAATACTCTTGAATCCTGATCAATTGGCCCGCACATCTACATGAGCGCGAGACACCCTTCAGCCCAGTTTCGATCCTTGAAAATGAAATAATCCTTCAGAGTTCCACTCAGTTTTCTAATTTACAGGAACTGAAAAAAATAGAAAGAACCCAGCGGTCTACGACAACTTTTCAGGCGTATGCATAACCGGCAGCCTACAGCGCTCTTGTATCCAGATCATTTAGCCCGCACATCGACATGAGCACGAGCCACCCTTCACCCCAGTTTCGATCCTTAAAAATAAAATAATCCTTCAAGAGCTTCAGACAGTTTTCTAATTTACAGTAACTGAAGCATAGAGAAAGAATCCAACGGTCTAAAGCGACGGCTTTTCAGGCGTGTGCATAACCGGCAGCCGACAACGCTCCTGATCGCTGGGCCCGCAAAGCGGCATGAGCACGGACTGCCCGCCAGCAAAGCCATCCACGAACGGGTCAGGCCGCTGGAGCGCGCACGTGTCCCCGTTCTTGCGCCGGGGCATGCGCAGAAGGTCCTTCTGGCGCACGAAGCGGCCGCAGTGCGCCTCGCCGAACACGTCGAACAGCAGGTCCTCGCCGGCGCACAGCTCCGTCTGCAACTCGGTCAGCGAGCGGCAGCACTGGTCGCGGGCCATGAACAGGTGGCCGGGCGGGCAGCGCGGCCCGGCGCACACGGGCGTCAACACCCCCAGCTGTGCGATGGGAAAATTATTATGATTAGTGGATCCCTTAGTAATGCGTCAGACCTCTACACGTTGCCAAACTACACCCTGACAGCAGAAATAAAAGAATGCACTGAGATAGAAATAGAAATAACCCAAGGGATAGGGATGTCGAACGACTGAATGAATGAATTCTAAATCCTGCGCATCAACTTCTTCGATCGTAAGTGTAGAGCACATTGAGATGAGAAGGGTTCCTTGCCCATTTGCAACCAAAATATCCGTGCTGACCCATACGTCTGCTAGCAAGGTTCTCCTACAGATATCTCCCCAGAAGGGTAATGCCTCAGCTAATATAAGCTTTCAGCTCTTGGCTGGTCTCCCTACATATGTGATGATGTGCTTATAAGTTAACTGTGTAAAGGGTGAGGAGGGGATGAGGCATTTCTCCGCCATTAGCCTGGTATTTTTTAAGGTCGCTTTTTAACAACTTGGTCACAGAGCAACCACTGTGATGGCTTTCACTGTAGGGGGAACTGTAGGAAAAATACGTAAGGACACGAGCGCAAGGAAACATCCACGACCGAGGTAGGATTCGAACCCGTGACCCTTCGAACCGAGGCAGCTACAGCCCTTCAGCCTTAGCGACCTCTCGCCTGGTATTGATAAGAGAAATTACAGAAATCCTCGCATCAGAGCAGCTGACCACTAAAACTATCCCCCTGACAGTGTTTGAAATCGACCCATCTGTAGTTATTATTATTAGCCAACTAAGATCCCATTAAGGGCAAGGACCCATCTATAGTATTAGTGTTAAAAATCCACCACATACGAGACTCGAACATCTGGATCGCCGTTCAACTATGTTGCAGAGGCAAAGGTTTTACGCTGAGCTAACACAACCAGTTACAAAGGTTGAACGCATAAGGCGAAGGAAGAAGACATCAATATCCCCAGAAGTAGAATGGAAAACGAGTTGATTATTAAGAATTTATTGCACGGATTGTCGAACGATGATGTTCAGTTACAGCAAACCATGTTAGCTGCATCGTTTAACATCTTAAAAGCCTTTTTCATAAGACTACGATAAACTGAAGGATTTCCTATCCGCGAAAGCAGAAAATGCTGCTAACGATGAATTTTCATAATGCCACATCCCCTTGATTCGCATTTGTTTGACTAGAGCTCTCTAACGACATGATGTTGCATCATAGGAATATAGATTTAAAAAACTAGCTCCGTCTGCCGCCACATAATTCTGATGAAGTATCGTTTTCCGATATAACTCTAACGTAACGTTGGATTCGCTCATTCGCAGAAGTTCAAAAGTGCAGAACTTTCAATAAGTGAATTGATTGGCGATGTATGAAGACTGTCCACGCTACCATATCCGGAATGAAAATAAAGTAATAACTGAGGCATATTGCTAGAATAGAAAATAACTCTAGAGATGGAAAGATCGATCGCGTAAGTCGAAGGAACAGATGGCCGGGCGAGCAAAAAGGCAGGCACACGCAAACGTCAAGCCCCTCCATTGTGTTATAGAAAATTAGTTGACTCTTATCGATTATTGAATGGACTAGAGATGAGATTGATAACTTTAAACATAACCAAAGAGACCAAATCAGGAAAAATTATCAACATTGAACAACGTATCGAGAAGATCTTCGCCAGCAGTCGAACATCTAAAACCAAACTCCGTCAAGTCACGGAGGTTCGAGTCGCCGCGGGGTCCCGAATGGGTGATCATCTGGGAACCTCGGTAACTAACGGTACTGAGCCCTGGCCGATAAGGATAAAAGGCGATGACTGACTTGACGTAAGACTAGCTTAGTATGTTCAAGGAGAATTTACTCCTCGTGTCCCACGCCAAAAGGTCTTCAGGACACTATTACGCAAGAAAAATATTTTTTACATATTTATTTATTTTTGCTATACACCAGTGAGTCCGGTTCCAAGAATGGTTCAACTCGGGCCCTAAAAGATCCCGAACCACGGGATGGAAAAATCAAGCAAGTATCGGCTGCGACAGAACTGTATATATGCGTGTATTTGGCATTTGGGGTCGCCAGTCCGACTTTGCCGGCCAGCTAACGGTGTCTTGCATGCCTCGGCCGAGTTAAACTCCCATGCTTGAAGGTAATTGCAACAAGTGCCGAATTTGCCTCTACTTTTGCCTCGGCCGGGAATCGAATCCAGGAGCACACCACGGGAAGTTAGTACGCTGTCTATAAGCCATTCTAGAGGCTTGCGACTAAATTATAGTATGATAATGAGTGGCGGGTCCTTCCCTCCCCCCTTCCCCCTTCTCGGAGCCACGCCCCCTGTGCCAGTCTCGCGATTAGCACTCGCTGTTGCGTGCACCAAGGAACAGGTGGCCAGGTGGGAAGCACGGGATGGCCATTACGACCCAAGCTGCGAAGAGAGAGAGAGCAGAAGTCGAATAGTAAACTAGGAGGACTCTGCGTTCTACCAGACTTGGAATGGAATGAGTGCAATCATTGGATCGTGTTGCTAGGATACACAAGAATCCTTGTGATACCGAGCGGTAGGAAGAGCAAACAATGTAAGGGGAAGGGATGGTTGGAGCGAAGAGAAGCGAGGTTCAACGCAAGCCGACATCACATCGCCCCGCTGCAGAAGGGTAATGGACTTAATTAATCAATCGGTCACTGAATTAAGTCAACTCAACGGACTAACGGTCTTAGCAACATTACAGCGAAACGAATATAATGTTTTAAAACATGAATTTCCTTGAACGAAGATAACTCGAAAGCCATGGAGAGTAACGATAAATGCCGTCGACCCAAAACCATCCATGTTTTTAAAACTGAATTAGATATCATTGAAGTACTCGCAGAAAGATTGGATTTTAAAGTGGTCTCATTTATGAATAATTTATTGAGATTTAACCGGCAAAGTAAAGTCCAAAAATCATCATGACAATAACATTAACAAAACTTGTATTATTTGATGCGATGACTAAAAAATATAGTTTTTTATGGACGAAAACTCTATTTTATTTATTTTTCACGTTTGGTCGCTTTCGTCCAAAGAATATTCAGTTTATAATATCTGAAAATTATTATGAAATTTTGTTATGACGGACTTTTCCATTTTAAAAATATTTACCAAGGTACAAATATCGAATACAAAACATTGATGTTAAAAAACATCGGATTCGAAAATTCTATTTTTAATATGTTGATGATTTTATAAAAATATCGATGTTTTAAAACATCAGTACTGATGTCACATCCCTACCTGCAATCCTCTTATGAAAAGAATTCATTGTTTAGAAATTAGTTAGAGGCATTATGTTTATCGGGTTATTTTTGTCCATTTTCCCGAAAAAGAATCAGCGATATTGCATTAATTTCGTGGGTATTTTTAAGCCTTTGATAAGAAACCTCGAGTATTTAATGTTTGATTATAGTTTTATAATTTACTTATAGGAAAGGTATATAAAGATGTATGCTTCCTTTAATTAATAATACACAAAATATGAATAAACGACAATAAGCTTTTCTTATCACGTTACCGAGAGTTCGATAACAAAGTGTTAAAAATTTGGAATTCGTTTTAAGAGAGAAGATAATGAACAAAAATCAATATTATGTACCCTTTCTACCATATTTGGACAGCTGAATAAAAGACTCGATAGATTCTCCATCTTTCCTTCTTCGCATAGAAACGAAGATAATTTAAAATTATTAAAAAAATTGCGAGAAGTTTGCGTTTATTTCGAAAAAATATAACACTTTCGCTTTTTATCAGTAAGAAAACATGAAATCACCTTAATTTAGTGTTCGTCGAGTTTATCGATAATACGAAAATATTAGAACTTGAAATGGAAGAGAACCAGTGAGTTGAGGTAACCAAGAGGTTAAACAGCGAAAGAAGTCGTGACTGGACGGGGAATGAAAGATATCCTGTGAGGAAGCAAGGGAAGTGGCACAAAGGAAAAGGGGACTGGGCGGGCAGCGTGGTACGAAGTTAACGAACATCACGACTATTGCGAGCATTGCGGAGAATGTCCAAGGTGAATGAGTCAATCAGTGAAATAAAAGGCATTTCCCTCCACCAATCATGGTATGACTGGAATGAAAAATAGTAATTGTTAGGTTGTGTTACTAGAAAGGATAATAATAATTTCACGGAATGTAAATTCTAATGATGCTAGAATGGAAGGGAATGAAGAAATCATGACAAGGTCAAGAAGGGCAGAGTGAGGTGAATTATCTAAAGATATTTTACATAAAGACTTTCAAATACCGTCAAGTCAAGAGTTATAACAAAAGAGCCTCCAAAAAATTCAATGGCAACAAGATCAAAAACTAAACTTATCCAAAATCGAAACAAACGATGTACAAACGAAATACATTAATTTATTTCAGTTAACTTGCAATGCAATTAAAGACTGAAGTTCACTTTTTTGCGTTACTGTAACACTGAATGTACTGAATACAGAACAATATTCCGTGAGCGCCCACGGGAATCGTCGGGGCACTCAGGAATTAGGGTTTCTCCAGATTCTTTCCACGAAACGAAAATCTAAACTTTTTACATTGTAATAGCGCTGGAAAGCCTTCTGTTAAAAAACATTGAAAATAAAATTATAAAGGACACTGACTTCAAATAAAAATGACTTTTCTGGGCAAGAAATGGCCAAAAACGACTATGCTAGTTAATACCCAAACAGTTTCAAAAATAAACACGTAACCTGCATTATTACTTTCAAATGGCTCCATTGCATTGCCTCACAGAAGTTATGACGGCCCTAGTCAACCAGTCATTTTGATAAGAAAAGTCTTAGCAGTGCTGTCTACCGTCGCCCATGCAGCATCATACCTCCAGTGCTCCGGCGTCCAGCACCAGCCAGTGGCCGTGCGGGCACGGTCGCGTGCTCAGCAGCGGGTAGCACTGGCCGTCACGCTGCGGGAAGAGCACGAGGTCCTTTTCGAAGCACGCACGCTCCTGCGGCGTGCAATGGAACGTCATGTTGGCGAGAGCATGTTCCACTCGCAGCTGCGGGAAACGATGTTCGTACGTCGAAATAGTGTACTCATAGTTCAACACATCGTTCGGGAAGTAGCAGAATCCGTCCCTCAGGAGAAACTTTGGAGTAGTGTAGCTGTTGGTAGCGTTCGAGATGAGCTCACATTCCCCCTCTCCAAACGCGTTTTTCCGCAAACGCAAGTTCATTTCTCGAGGACATATTTTGTTCTTGATCTCAGTGGTATCGTAGCAACACTGATCATAAGACATTCGCTCCTCAAACTGGTTACTGTTGCACGTGAATAGAGGGTGACACTTTCCTCGCACTATCTTCGACTCATCATACACCTTTTTGTCGACTACTACAATCTCGTATTCCCTGCACGGGCCGGGAGTTCCCAAAGTGTAGCATTTTCCTTCCAATAAGACCTTATTTTGGTCGAGACATTTCTTCTGCTCCGAGTTAGTACAGTAGACGATCCTTCCGGCGAGACTCTCTGACAGCTGTGTAGGCGGCTTTGGAGTACAACTGACAGCGGCGTTGGGGGACTGGGAACTCGCAATCGTCAGCAACGCGGAAAAGATGACCAGAAATAACATTGAGAAGGCTGATGCTTGTTCCATGGTCCTGGTCCACAACTGACGCTGTCTAACGTAAAACTAACGTAGCAACGTAGCCTGCGAGCCTTTTTCTTTCCTTGGGTCCGAAAAAAAAAGAATCTGCGCGAACAAGGTTAACGACTGAAACCGGTCTTCCAAGAATGCTCTCATCGGGACAAGGAAAAACATCTTGAGGCAGGAAGTAGCTCGTAGTATACTGTTCTAAACCTTCTTATTGCTGCACGCTCGCAAGATCATTATATCTACATTCCAACTCGATGTCTGATTAATAAGTTAACGTTACATGAGACGAACGAAGAAATTGTCGCATTCAGTGAATGTCACATCTCACGCAAGTGTGACGATAATCACAGTGTACTCGAGGAACCGTTTCAGTGTAACTGTAAAATGTCATCTTAATAACACTAGGTAAATATGCTAATGATGTTTTTTTAAATCATTATTTGTTGTACTGCTGTACGGATACTGTAACCGTCGTGAACACGTCACATTCATTTTATGACTACTTAATATTTTAATGTATTCATTGAAACGTTCAATTGTCTATAAGATTCAATTTTACAATGTAAAAAGTTGATAAAGTAAATAACACATTGATTCTTTTGTAGAAGACTTTAGCCATCATTAAGGAAGTATTTTGTATATTTTCACTTTGTTTTTAGTAATATTCTCCGGTTAGTAAATACAAGTAGAAAAATATCTTTAAAAAATACCTTTTTGAAATATTATTTCTTAAATTTTAATGCTCAATTTGTAAGTTAAAACAGCACCTTATAATACATACCATCAAACACTTTGAAACATTCAAAAGCTATTTAAAATAAATCGTAAATTGTAATAATCGTAAAGAAATCTGCAAGATTTTTTCAGATATTTTAATTTCTCACATCAAAACATCAGTTGATCGCAGAACTTGATAAAGCATGTATCATTAATTGGCAATTATTATTCTACCACGTTTAATTAAAACAATTTTAATATGGAGAGTAATACGATTTTTTTCACTGAAGTGAACTAAATCATAGAGTAGAGCTACTTCTCCACTTTGCCCAATTCTTTTGTACCTTTAGTTGCAGAGTTTAATCTCAAAATACCCCCCAATTGGCTCTAATAAAAGAAGACAAAGATCAAGTCGTGTTCCCTGCGACCTCTCTAGCGGGAAGCACTCCGATCGATTCTGCGACCTCTCGATTAGGTCTCTTTAATCTTTGCAATTACATTGATAAAGAACTGGAAACGAGCCGAGAAACTTTATTTTGGTGAGACTGGTGTTAAACTCGGAACTTAACTAGAGAAATACTTCAACTTTAACGTTTCCTTCAAAAGACGCAACCGCAGCTTTCTTCTGACTTTCCTGTTGTACAAACACTTAGATATTGGTACTAATTATAAGTATTAGATGTATGGAGGTACAATGATCAATTACTGTTTGTTCGTATGTTTTATAGCCTACAAGATAAAGAGAACACGACGAAACTGCAAAATATTTACATAAATTATATTATTATATCTCGCTGCAATGTAACTGCGAAATATAATTAACGAAGTAGGTTTTCATATCACGCATCAAAAAGACTTAACAATCACAATAAATTAAATAATTTTTCTCCAGATATCTTACAAGTATAGACTATTAAACATTGAAAAGTTTTGTACAGTTTAAAACTCCTAAATGATTTTTTTTTCGTAAAAAAACATTAAATACTTCTAATATTTTTAGAGCAGTGATATAATAAGTAGCTCACATTTTCTTATTTACTCATTAGTACGGCTAGTCACAGAAATGACCAAATTACTATAAGTAATTTAAATACGGTATCACATTACAGAAATCTTAAATCAAGTACTCCAATATTAATAAAAATAAACGTCCAATAAAATTATGAGGACTATTTTTGTTCTTACCCATTGTAACAAAAATTGCATCCCTTTTTTTAAATCCTTCCTGTGTGGGCAAGTCAGTTCATGAATTCATGAAACATGGGATACTCTAAGCTATGGAATCTTTAATGAATTATGTAGATCTAAAGTCGCATCAATCACTTTCGGACACGGGTTCTCCGTTACGAGTTGAGTTGATTGAGAGCGACCTGCGCCGCCCAAGTTCCGACCGATAGAGACAGTCCCTCCCTGCGACCAGCCGCGCGTCAGGCAGTGAGCATCGACAGTTGCGTAGAGGCCGCCGCTGTCGCTGCGGTTCCAAGCGGCGCGAGTTCTGGCGCCCTCTGCCGATGCCGCCGCCTCACTCAACCTCGATTACGTCGTCCCCGCCCCGCCCCCCGCCGCGCATCGACAGCAGGCCGCCCGCGTCCCCGGAGTCCGAGTCTGCGGCGCGGTGGCGTAGTCAAAGCGTCTGGCAAAGCGCACGGTAATTATTGGACCACTCAGGCCCGTAATAGCCCGAGGACACCTATGAGGGGCAGCGCCGGATTTAGGGTGCAGGACGCCCGGAGTTCAGTGATCCTAACACCACAGGTAGTAACCTTTGAAGTTTAGTGTATACACCATGTGTCGCTGCCAATATTACTTAAATGAAATTCGAAAACTCTTTAATTTTTATAACAGTTTTTCCTAGATCCTATCCTCCTGAAACATATAAAAACACATGCTTTACTCACGGTATTACACCATGTCTATTCAATATCGGCAAGGCCTGCCTAAACGGTGTGATAATGTTCGAAATTAAGAATAATTCACATAATGCCAAAATACGTAACTTGCATCCAATTTTGAAAATATTTCGCCCCAAAATATGACAGATAACTGTTTCTGTAACTGAGATGGGACGATTTTCCCGAATTACGTACTCATTAAATGTACACATACGAAGTTTCCCTTTTGCTCTAGGAACTAACACCAATTCAACGAATCTCTCAAATGGTTCTTATACGGTTTTGAAGTGTATTTGCTCCATATTTTCGAACAGTTTTAATCCGATCAATTAGTACAAGTTGAATTCCCCTCGGTGTCGTTAATGCCAACAACTTGACATTTTCCTTCAAAAGAATAGCGTACGGTATTTAAACATTTCCAAGTCTCTGAAATAATTTTGCACCTGTCATTTTATTCATGTTATCTGGAATCTCTCATTATCAACAACAGACTGGGGGAGTATGCGACAGATGATTCTGAGTTTGTTACAAGAGTTTTCATACAAAAGGATTTAGATTTATCGATCACTTAAATATCGGTAATATAGATTTTCTTTCACAAAGATGTTTTCTGTAAAAAACTGGCAAGACAAGGCAACAATAAACGACCCTGATTAGTGTTGACAAACAATCATGACGGATATTGCAGAGACACAAGGTGTGAGCCTTGATCGCACAAACGTTTTTGAACTCATATACATTATACGAGTTATTATATGCAGCACTGACGTAATGTTACTCTTTTGATTTACGGAAATAAGAAGGACCAAACCCTATTTGCCGTATTGGTTTACTACTACTTATTACAGAGTAAACATATTGTAATGCGGCAGTTGGAAAAATACCCAAGGTTTCTATAGGAAAACTGTTTGTAGGCCATTAATACGGACAAAATGGATTTGACTTGCTCCTTTATGCAGTAATTTACTTTCTCAAATACGTGCTATAATCAAATTCCACGTTTGGTTCGGATCCTCGATATCGAAAAAATGAGTTTTCCACAATTGGTCCATTTGTCTTTCTGTCAGGGACTGTCTGTGAACAACATTAGCACCTAAAAGGTAAACAGAATTTCCACTAAAAATTACCTTGTCTGATCCGACGATGCAGTACCTTTGCAAACGGGTCATGGAGCGAGCATGATCTATTCTTTCTCAACATTGTCCCTCTTTCTCCCGTTACACACAATCGTATACCCTTACATGCATTACACTGCCACATATGTCGGAAGACAAGTCGGGAGCGTAGAGCGTTTCCTTCCTGGGGCACGATATCCCACTGGAGGTAATACCTGAAGAGGAATCCCGCAAGTCAACTGTACTTCGGCACCGGTTCTCACCTTCCAGCGAGAGACGAACACCGCCACTTTCCGGGATATATGCATTATCTTACAGCACTAGTACTTGACGTGCCCGGAAACACTAAAATTAATCAATCAATGTTTCAGAGAACATGAAATGTCCTTTCAAAGTATTGTTTTGAAACTTTTCATTTGAAAAATTTCTAGTTAACGGGAGTTCATGGCACCACACTTCTTATAAAAATAATCTCAACTGACCCTAAGATTTAGAATGAATTGCTTTTTCTAGCTCAACTTTCCTGGACAGGACACCGATTGCCGTGAAGAATATTTACTCGTACACTGGTTTCCTTCCAATTGGTTGATCCAGTTACGACTCTCTTTCATGACACGGCCGCTACTACTCCTCACCTCCTCTAGCAAAGCCATAGGAAGCGTTTTGCTTCTGACATGCAATGGTGTTTCACACCGATTTGAACTTCAATTTAAACAAAGTGACACTTCAAGGTCACGAGTGGAGACAGTCATCAAATCGGGAGCTCCGTTACGACTTAAATTTTTGGTATTAGAGTTTCCGATTAGATGTCGCTGTCCCTCACTCCTTCCAGCTTGTGACTTTGAAGAGCCATTACGTTTAAATCGGAGTACAGATGCAATCCTGCCTCTAGATCATATGTGATATCTTACCGATGTGGGTCATCTCCCAGAGAGAGATGACCCACATCGGTAAGATCTGAAGTTTGGAACGGAGAAGAAAACACGCGTAGTCCCATTGTTTAGCTTCTTGCCCTAGAATCTTCCAGGTATTAATTGGAGGAAACCATTTTTTTTCTACACGAAGAGTCGGAGGCGTATGGTATTTCGATAGAATGTATTGTTCTCATAAACATACCAAAATTTCATTGCAACAGTATCGCTCGTGAGCCGTAATAGTGACACAACTCAATAAATAAGAATTTTGAGTTAATGCACTCTCCAGAATTGTAGATTGGTCTACCTTCCAGCAGCATATCTTACAGTACAGTATTCCTCCAACAAATGGCAG